CGGCCTCTGGAAGCTGAGCCGACCCTGGCCGACAACCAGAGAGAACACAGGGCCTCAGTCCGACAGCCACAAGGGGTGGAACCCTGCCAACACCCCGAATGAACTGGGGAGCAGGATACCTCCCAGGAGCTTCCAGATAAAAGCCCAGCCCGTCCCACACCTTGACTTGACCTTGGCTTTGTGAAATCCTAGGCAGAGAACTCAGGTGAACGCACCTGGATTTCTGACCTACAGAACTAGGAGATAGTAAGTACAGCTGACCCTTGAACAACACGGTTTGAACTGCGCAGGGCCACTTATGTGCAGATGTTTTCATCTTGTGGATAGACAGTGTAAACTTACAGTACTACAAATGTATTTTTTCTTCCTTATGGTTTTCTTAATTACATTTTCTTTTCTCTAGCTTACTTTATGGTAAGAATACATTATATAGTACATATAACATATGAAATATGTGTGACTCAACTTTATGTTATTGGTAAGGCTTCTAGTCAACAATAGGTTCTTAGTAATTGAGTTTTAGGGAGTCAGAAGTTTTCTTGGATTTTCAGCTATTCAGGGGCTGGCACCCCTAACCACTGTTGTATTGAAGGGTCAACTGTGGGTGTTATTTTAAACTTCTAAGTTGGTGGTAATTTGTTATGCAACAACAGAACATTACTGTTCTCCACCCATAGAGAACAGTCGTCTTGCCATTTGACAAGTGAGGAGGGCTGGTCACTTGCCGGGGGTTGAACAGCTCATTGGTGGCAGAGCCGAGAAGACGCTAGTACCGAGGTCAGCGAACACTCTACAAAGGTCCAGATAGCAAACAGTTTGATGACATGGTTTATGTCACAACAACTCCTTAATTCTAACATTGTAGAACAAAAGTAATAAAATGTAAAGAAAGAACTTGACTGTGTCCCAATAAAACTTTATGGTCACTCACATTTGAATTTTGTAACATTTTCATGTATAAAATATTAGCCTTCCTTTGATGTTTGTCCACCATGAAAAGAAATGTGAAAAACTCTTCTCTGTTAGTAGGACACATGAAAACAGGTCGTGAGCCCAATTTGGTTTGTGGGACATGGTTTGCCAACCCCCCAACCTCGGGCACCTGACTGCTGGTCTAGGGATCTTGCTTCTACGGAACAGCTAAGAGGTTGGGGAAAAGGGGTCCTGGACCTCATCAATCTTTGCCTGGGTCCCTGCTATATACTGTATTTTGCCACATATAACGCACACCCACATTTTTGTGCGCATTATACGTGGTATTATTACACCCATGGCACGTACTCATTACACCCAAGCACAATGCACATCCTTATTTTTCCCTCAAAAATTTGGGCAAAAAAAGTGCACATTATACACGGCAAAATACGGTACTTCAGATTTGCTGTGTCACTTCAGGCAATTCGCTTTTCTTCCTTAGGCCTATAGAAATGGAAATCAAAGCAGAACAGTGGTTTTTAAAACTTTTCTCCACCCATTTCCCAGCTTCGGGATTCCAGCCTCTCTGCCCCTCCTCCCCAAAAGAACCTGACCCAGAACTCCAGCGTCAAAAGCTGACGGAAAGGGCACTGCTCTCTCTGACCGGCTGGGAGAGGGGCCAGGGTCCCTGCCCGCTCCACCCTTTCTGCTCCTTCTGTGTAAGAGACATCTGGGAGGTCTGGCTTAGAAGTTACATGTTAAAGTTCCTGAGACTTGTCCATGGCATACGGGAAAAACAGGGCTCAGTTTTTAGGACCTCAGGTTTATTTTCTCTTACATTTCTTAATATCATATAAAGAAGTTCCCTTCTCTCTGCAGAACATGAGCTGACATTCTTTGAACCAGTTAGTCTCCAAAGCCCAACTGCGATATCTAAACCAGGGTTTCTCAGCCTTGGCAGTGACACCTGGGATGGGTCATTCTTTTTGGGGGCTGTGTGGTGCGCTGTGGGATGGTTAGATGCCAGTAGCAGTTACCACGGTTGTGACAACCCAGAATGTCTCTGCACATTGCCAAATGTTCTCTGGGGGTTGGGAACATTGGTCTGAACCCCTCCTTCAGGAAGCCGAGCCTTAGAATCCTGTTACTATTTGGCATTAATGAATGTGCTTGAGATCTTTCTTTTTTATATTTTGAAAGATTTTATTTATTTTTAGACAGAGGGGAAGAGAGGGAGAGAAACATCAATATGTGGCTGCCTCTTATATGCCCCCGACCGGGTACCTGGCGGCAACCCAGGCATGTGCCCTGCCTGGGAATGAACCAGTGAGCCTTTGGTTCACAGGCCGGAGTTCAACCCACTGAGCCACACCAGCCAGGGCTGAGGTCTTTCTTTAAAGATAGTTCTACCCTAGACTTTGACCAGCCTCGGCTGCATTGCTGGCAGACCTTGAGATGTTTTCACCCCATGGGCCTTCTTCCCTCCCTACAGAAATGAGTGTGCACTGAGGCAGGGAACAGAATGACCCGCCACTATTGTACATCCCATGCTGTTCATCATTTATATTCGTGGTGGGGCTACTGTGTGCCAGCTTCGAGATGGCACGAGAAGGGTGGGGTGGGGTGGGGACAGGAGAGGTCCACACCTGCCCGCAGGACACTGTCTGTAGGGGAGGCAGATACGTAAGCAAGTAACTAAAATGCACTGAGTTATGGGCAGACGTTCATGGGCAAGCGTGTGAAATGGAAAGAAAAACTATTAAAAATGGTATAACAATAATAGCCAATATTACTAAGCACTTACTATAAGCCAAGCACATTCTATAATAACTCACTAAACCTCATAACAACTGTATAAGGCCTGATTCCAGTGCTTATTTCTCATGGCTTCTCCAAATCTGGTGGTGGAGCCCAGCATCACCAGCCCCAGAGGGTGGAGCCTGTGCAGATGAGGCTGCATTGAGGGCAATGTTTTTCCTTCTTTACAGGTTGACCACTGTTCTTTACCTGTGAAGGGGAATATTCTGCGTGTGGACCTGGAAAATTCGGACTGATATGTATTTAGATACCTCCTCTCCCACCTTCGCTCCCTACCCCTCACTTATTAGCTGTGGGACTTCGGGCAAGGCTCTTGTCTCAGCCATGATGACTTTGCTGCATGACAATTAAACAAGAAAAACAAATATAACATTGCACATCAACTGTAACTTAAAAATGAATTTAAAAACACAAACACCCACAAGAGGCCTGGCCAGGTATCTCAGCTGGTCTGATCATTGTCCCCATACACTGAGGCTGTGGGCTCCATCCCTGGTCAGAGCACATACAAGAAGCCACCAATGAGTGCATAAATAAGTGGAACAAAAAATTGATGTTTCTCTCCCTCTAAAAAATCAATCAATAAAATAAAATAAAAACCACAAGAAAAATGGCTGGCTGGTGACATTTACAATAAGTGGTGACCAATTTTCTCCTCTGAGACTTCAGCATAATGCCACAGAACACACCGGGCTGCTTGCTCAGGAAGGGTCTGCAGGAATACCAAGCCTGTGGGACTCCCCAGAGCTCCCAAGAGGTGGGGAAGAGGAAGCCAGAGGCAGAAGAACTGGACCAGAGCCCTTGGTGTGGCCCTGCTGGGCCTGGCTGGGTCTTGAGCCAAGTCATCTGGTCCCTGCCCTCAGAGAGGTCACCACCGACTAAGGAGATTCACAAATAGAGCCCTGTTCCCTGCCTTATGGGAGCAGCAGGAAAAGACCTAGGCTGGTCTGGGAATGGGCTCCCTTTGACGCACAGGAACTGAAGGTTTAACCAGCCTGAGACTTTCTCCATCTTCTGCACGTGCTACCCCTGTAGCCTGGCTGCTATGCCCCATTCCTACTTTTCTAAGACAACTCGGGTGTCCTCCCATAGAAGACTTCACACACGGCTGACCCTCCTTCAAGGTGCCCAAATCACCTGACCACAAAAACAGCTTTCAGCCTGTACTAGTTAAATGGCCCAGCCCTTCACCTGGACCACTTAACTCGTCCAGTCCTCACAGACTTGTGAGCTGGGATCTTCAGCTTTCCTTCGACACGGGAGACAGAAGTTCAGAGAAGTTAGGGCACGCATCTGGGCGGAGGCCCTGCTCTCTCGAAGGCCCCATGCTCCCTGGCCTCTTGCCCGCCAGCTGCGGGTAGGAACCGGGGGGAGGAGCTGGGGAAGCACTTAAACGCAGGCCACTGTTTCTGAGAATGCCTTCCTCCTCCGCAAGTGAGGTCTGGGGAGGCGGGGGTCTCCACCGGCTTGCTCTCAGACTGACCTCTGTGAGAGGAAAAAGCCAGTTACCTAAACAGAGTTTGCAGCAAAGCACAGGCCTGTGACTTTCCCGCTTTGGGCCCAGATTTCCTTGCTGTGAGATGGGAGTGAGGAGGCGGGGGCTCCGGAACCCTAGATGGCTCCCCGACTGGGCGTCGATGGCTCTCGGGGCAGTTCGTCTCCCTTCTCAAGTCCTCCCCAGGCGATTCCCGACGGCTCCGAGACGGCGGTCCGCCGCTCGCGGGTGGGGAAACCCTAACCCCCGCCAGGCCCGCTCGCGCTGTCGCTTTAAGGTCGGGCGGGGCCCGCGGGGCGGTCCGCGACACCTGGAGCCGCCCGCAGCCGGTCCCCGGTGTCTCCCCGGGACCCCCCGGTCCTGGAGGACGCGATCCCGGGACTGGTGGGGCGAGTCGCGCCCAGAGCCGGAGCCCGGACGGCCCAGCGCAGTCGGCTAAGCCGGGGCCGGGGTCGGTCAGCACGCGGGTCGAGGGCGAAGACCAGGCTCCGCGCGCCCTCGGCGGCCCGCGAAGCGCTCCCATTACTGGGTAGCAGAGCTGCTGCCGGGCGCACAGCACCGGGACCGGCGTCCGCCGGGTGAAGTCGGGCTCCGCACCTCCGCTCCGGGTGCGGGGCGGGCAGGAGACGTGCGGAATCCCGGGACGAGACTCGGAGCCCGACCTTCGCGTTTTTGCGGGGCGAGGAGGCCAAAGCCAGGGCCACCCCCGAGCGGCCGGAGTCCCCTGCACACCCGAAGGCCGCCGTTCCGGGGTTCGCGCCGCTCTCCGGCCCCACAGCCACCATGCCTTTGCGCCCGCCAGGCTCCCCGCGCCCGCGCCGCGCCTGACTGCCTGCTGCGCCATGGCTGCGCCCCAGGTGGGTACAAGCTTCCCCCTCGCCTTCCTCCGGGAGCCTCTCGGCTCCTCCTGACGACCACCCGCCTGAACCCTTCCCCTTTCCCTTGACCACCGAGGCGTGGTGGGCAGTCAGCACACTCAGGTGTCTTGCTGTGTTTTAACTCGCTGAGTGGCCTTGGGCCGTGCGGCTCCAGGCCTCAGTTTACCCGGTGTTTAGGTGTAGATAGTTTGGACCTCTTCTTGTTCGGAGGAGATGGTTCAGTTCTTTACAGAAAAGTGGCACCTGCTCTGGCTGGTGTGGCTCAGTGGATTGAGCGCAGGCCTGAGAACCAAAGGGTCTTTGGTTGGAGACCCAGTCAGGGCACATGCCTGGGCTGCAGGCCAGGGGACGTAGGAGAGGCAACCACACATTGATGTTTCTCTCCCTTTTCCCCTCTCATCCCCTTTCTCTAAAAATAAATAAAATCTTAAGAAAGAAAACTGGCACCTAAAGTTCCCCTGTTGGTAGAATGCAACACGGCATTGGGCCGCTCTCACGGAGGAGGGAAGGGAGGCATGGAGGAGCTGGGTTACATGCCCAGTGTCAGAGCCTCAGTCCCGGTTGGCCTGTGTCACTGTGCTTCACTTACAGCTTGCCATCCTGGCATCTCACCTTCCCAACCTGGTCCTCCCAGGGAGGTGGGAATTTGAGATCAGAGATCAAGCCTCCTGACCAAGGTCATAGAACGGCTGAGAAATAGAACGGCCAAGGTCCAAGAGGGCAATAGATCAGACTCAGGGAAAGGCCTCCTTTGCCTGGTTGGAGGTGGGAGGTGGGAGGTGGGGGTGGCAGCTGCAGAAAAGCTTCTGGGACGATGAGGTGTTGGGCTGGGTCTTGAAGGGTTGGGGCTGTGAAATGAAGCCCTGGATGGGGACAGAGGGCTCTCCAGGCTGAGAGAGCAACATCCTTTAGGCCTCCAGGTGGCAGGAGTTTGGATGAGTTGTGTGTGGGAGTGTGAAGGAGGTGAGGGAGGGGAGGGAAGGGAGGGAGGGGAGGGAGAGGGCCTGGGGGCAGGCCCTGTCTGAGCGCCAGGGTCAGGGGTGGGCCTTCTCCGGGATGGCGGTTATTGCCTACAGGGCACAGAGCTCTTGTTCCCTCCCCAGCAGGGTACCGGGCACACAGATGTGAGAGGTGAGGGGTGAGTAAGCTGCCCGAAGTCCCCTCTCTGAAGCGGAACAGGGGAATCTTGAGCCAGGACACCCTGCTGCTGATAATCAGAGCTCTGATCTGTAATGATAATGAAAACGACCACACAGCAACAGGATGAGGCTGTCCCTCATCCGGTGGACACTGACACCCTCCATGCCCCAGGATGGCAGGTTAGCGTGTAGCCTGCCTGCCCGAGGCAGGATCCACATGGCAGGGGGGACACCTGCACAGAGGGAGGTGACCACGCCTGTCTGAGGAGGACACTGTGCTCTGGAGAGTTCGAACTGCCTGTGCCAAAAACTTGCAGATACCTCTCTTCACAGCAAGGTCTCAACTTTATGTACTAAAAACACAGAGAGATCTGGCTGTGCACACACACAGGGATTTGTGTCACACTAGACCTGGGTTTAAATTTGGCATTAACCTTGGACACACTCACTGTCATAACCTCATGTCCTTGGGACATATTGCTGCTGTGAGGATTAAGTGAGGGGAGGAGACCTGTCAAGTGCTTGGTGTGGTGTCCGGCCTGGGTCAGTGCCCAGCACACAGCCGCGGACACCATCACCATGCATGCAGGCTGAAGGAGAGATGGGACATTCATTCACACGGGGATCAGCTCCTCCGAGCAGCGGCCTGAAAGAGAATTTCTGTTTTGCATTTTTATACCCGTCTGTGGTTTTCTCCTCTCCCCACAGTGAAAAGCATCCTAAGTTACCTTCTGCAGGAGTGAATTCTTCCAGCATTGTGAAACCCAGTTGTATCAGGGTGTGGGAAAAGTCCCTCACCTTTCTGGCTCCTGTCTTCTTATTTGCAAAGCAGGAGTTTTTTTCCCTGCCCTGGTGTCGGGGGTTTCATGAGATGCTGGGTGTGAAGGGCAGCTGTCAAGAGCCTTAATATATAGTCCAGGGCTTACGACGATTGATTTGCTGGCTTTCTTTTCAAGTTGGTTTCTCCAGCTTTTTTTGTTGACAGCCTCTCCTAGCTGCCTGACTTTGGGCGGGTTGGGGGGGGGTAGTCAGCTTCTGTGTCTCCCCCATCAACATGCCTTGAGCTGGAGACAGGAGGAAGGCACTTGCCCCAAAGACAGATTCGTAGGAAGAGAACTGCAGGTACTTTACAAACGGTGTTTTTCTATATACTTTTGGTGGTCTGGGGGCTCAGAAGAATTGGGGCCCGCTCCTAGAGCACCATATTACATGCATAGATTCTCATGTGCACGCACACACGTGTGCCCACACACACATTTTCTTTTTGATAACATGGGTGGAACTATTTTTTAACTACATGCACATTTTAAAACACATTTGGAAACAGGCCCTTTAAAAAAATTAATGTCAATTTTAATATTATATTAGTTAGAATATTATATTAGTTTCAGGTATACATAGATATTCAACATTTACATGCGTTATAAAGTGATCAGCACAATAAACCTAGTAACCATCTGCCACGGTGCATAGTTTATTCGATGCTATTGACTTTGTTCCCTGTGCTGTACTTTACGTCCCGGTGACATATGTTGTAACTGGAAGTTTGTACTCTTACTTCCCTTCCCCTTTCCCACCCCTCCCCCCACCCCTCCAGTGGGAACGTGCCCTTTTGAAATTTCATGCTTTACCTACTGTATCTTGAACATTGTGCGTGCCCCCTGCTCCCCTAGGAGCACGCCTTTGAATGGCTGCACAGCCGGGCATTGTTCCAGTGCTGAGCAAGCTCCCATTTGGAAGGTGTTTCTGGTCATTGTAGTCTCTCTGGGGTCTGTGAGTTCCCCGCTTCTGTGGCTCAGCCTTTGGAAGGGGAGGTGGTGCCGTACTACTACTACTACTACTACTACTACTACTACGTTCTCTTCGTGTAGATGAGGCCTCAGGCCCAGAGCGGTTGGGGGCCTTACCCCAGGACACAGCTGGTGAGCTGCAGGGTGGGGCCAACGCCAGGCCTCTGCTTCCCGGCTGGTGCTGAAGCAGCTAGAATCCTGGGGAACCCTTGCCTCCCCCCCCCTCCCAGCTGTGAGGCAGGCTTTTTACACAACAAGCATTTGGTCAGCGACACTTTTTCCCTCATTTAAGGGAATTGCTTTAACAAACGTTTATTTAGCAGCTATTATATGCTAGGCACTGGGGATAGAGCAGTGAAGGGGGCCAATGCAGACAGCAAAGGAGCAGTTAACCACAGACACGTAAGTACTGTGGGCCAATAAGGCTGAGGGGACTGGGTGCTTAGAGTGTCCCAGGTGGGGGCTGAGCTGAGCCTTGAGGGGCGATAATGGCCAGTTGCCAGGAAGAGGGAACAGCGTGTGTTCCAGCCCCTTCCTGTCCGTGAGGTCTGGGGCCAGGTTTCCCCCAGCGCGGTTGTTTTTCCTGGGCATTCTTCTTTACCTGACTGAGGTAACACTATATGCATAATTAGGTATACTAAGTTGAAAAAAGTAAGATATTAAAAACATTTCCCCCTTTTGTGAAACATTTGTGCTGAGCTTGATTTAAAGAGAGACATTAATAGTCCATGTACAGGTTATAACCTGCCGCGGTTTGCCCATCATTTCCCTACAGCCGTACACTTTGGCACTTTCCAAGTTAGGGTCTTCAGAAATAAGGCCAGACTGACCATTTTTGTGTGTGTGATTTTGCTCCATGTCATGAATTGTCCCTTCAGACCTCTCCGTGCCTCCCTCATACTTGCTCCGGCACTTGTCTTGGGTTTTGGTGTCTTCCTCTGTCAAGTGGAGATGACAGGGTCGACCTTTTGGGATTGTGACCGGGTGAAGTGAGGCAAGGTGTGACCAGCCAGCCCCAGTCCTGGCAGGCCTGGGGGACCCTCCCAGCCTGTGGTAGACACAGTGGGGCAGCTTCTACCCACCAGGCAGATGTGCCTCTGCAGCCTGGAGGGGCCCAGGGAGAACCCAGCCACACTTACGGACTCCTACCTGACCCCAGGCCTGGTGCTCGGTTCGAGCAGCCCTGCACGGTTAGCAGCAGCACCTCCATGTCTCAGACGAGAACACTGAGGCAGAGAACTCAAACGGCCTCTCCAAGGTTGCATGGTGACCTCAGGTGGGGAGAACTAAGACCTGGGTCTCCAGTACTCAGCAGGCCCCTTACATGTCCATTTTTCTTCTCTTTCTTTTTCTACGTCTAGAACTGTGACAGGGGCCGAGTGGCCTCCACCCTCCGCTACTGCATGATGGTCAGCGGCACGGTGGCTCTGGTGGCTGGGACACTCTGCTTTGCTTGGTGGAGTGAAGGGGATACCGGTGGTCAAGCCAGCCAGCCGGCTCCATCCACTGGGCACCCCATGCCCGAGTCCCCCAGACCTGTGCTGAGGTCCATCAGCTTCTTCTGTTGTGGGGCAGGTAGCTTGCTGCTACTCCTTGGCCTGCTGTGGTCCTTCAAGGCTAGCATCTGGGGGCGACCCCAAGAAGACCCGTATCACCTCTCCAGAGACCTGTACTACCTCGCCGAGGAGCCCTCAGAGAAGGAGAGCAGCAGGTTAGCAGGGAAGGGTAGGGGTGGCTGGTGGGACCACAGGGGCGTACCATGACATCATCACTTACTTGCTCAGCCAACTCTCATGGGTTCCTCCTCTTGCCCAGGCTTTGTCTATGCCCTGGGGGCTGGACAGCTGATCAGCACGGTCCTAGAGGAGTTTAAAGCTCTATGACAAAGCAGAGTAGTTAGAGCTTTGAGAGAGGCATAGACATGGTCATGTGGAGATGTGGAGAAATCCGGGTAGGCTTCTTGGAAGAGGTGGAAGCTGAGCTGAGCATAATATGGGGCAGGGTAGCACAAGGGTTAAGAGCCCAGGCACAGGAGTCAGACTGACTGGGATCCTCTCCTGGTTCTATCCCTAACTAGCAGTAGAAATTCAAGTAGATCACACAACCCCACTGAGCCTCAGCTTGCTTGTCTGAAATAAAACAGGAACAATAAGAACAGCAACAATAACAGCAAACACCCGTATAGGACTTATCATGGTTCAGACACTGATTCACATGCTTTTCCCATATTTACTCCTTTAATTCTGACAGCAGCCCTCTGGGGTAGGTATGCTTATTAACTCTGTTTACCGATGAGGAAACCGAGGCAGCAGGATGTTAGGTAACTTGCCCAAGGACACCAAGTAGTGTACGTCGGGGCCAGGCCTGGGCCCAGAGCCCACGCTGTCATCCACTCCCTGGCTCATGGGACACAGAGAATTCAGGGAGATGACATGTATGTAGAACTCAGCTTCATGCCTGGCGTACGGCAGGTGCTCGGTAACGGCCAGCCTTTCCTCCAGGGGCTCAGGAGGCGGGAGGAGGTTCAGGCAGGCAGCGGGGCCTGAGCAGACGCTCAGCGGTGGGATGGGGGTGGAGACAACATCTTGCCTGAGACAACATTTCCCAATCTTACTTTTCATTTTTACTCCCTTGAAGGAGGCTTTTAGGCATTTTTTTAAAATATATTTTATTGATTATGCTATTACAGTTGTCCCATTTCCCCCCCTTTTAGGTATTTTTTTCTTAATTCTCCCCCGTGAGATTTAAATGCCACAGACACACGATGTATTTGTCTCTGTGCTGCATGTGTTACCTGTGCTTTGTGTCACCAACACACCGAGAACCAATTTTTGCCCTGTGAGAAAGTGAATCCTGCCCGCACTGATGTGTGTATTCATTCGGCCAAGCACTGGGTGCACCTGCACGTCAGGGGCCTGCATACATCCTCTCCAGCCCTTCTGTGCCCTGAGAGGGCGGAGCCCCTGTTGCCCTTGACGGAAGAAGAAGCTGGGGTTATACAACTGAACAGTGGCAGAGCCCGCTGGCTGCAAAGCTCGCCTTCTCTGACAGCACTCTGTGAGGCTGGACGTATTAGGGGCTACGCCAGATGTCTGTGTGCTGGCCTGGGACTCGAACCTTCTCCCCTCAGTTAAAAGGGAACCTGCATTCTGAGTTAAGGAACGTAACAGACTACGTTCCCCCTGCTGGCTTGTGAATCCTTGAAGTCAGAGAGACAGTGGGGTATGCAGCAGAGGCCACTTACTCCGAAGGTCGGGCCTTGGTTGACCCGACAATTAGAGGGAGGGGCAGGGCCTTGGGAACTCTCTAGCCAAACTCTTCATCTTTCTGATGAGAAGCCTGTGTCTCCGAGGGACCAGTGACCTACCTGGTCACACAGTGAGGCAGTGGTCAGCTGGAACAAGGCCAAGCCTAGAGCACTCTGGCTCTGTGCCTGTCCCTCCCCGGCCCGGGCGGCCGGAGTGTACAGGGGAGTGTTGTCTGTACACACGGCCGTGTTGACCCAACAGGGTCCGGCCACAGCTACAGCAGGGCCCGGGCCACGGCTACAGCAGGGCCGCCAGCCTTCCTCCCCAGCCAGGCCAGGAGGCTGCCGAGTGTTCCGGTTTGGAGACCCAAGTCTTTGATTCAGAACTGGGTGACTGGGTGTCAGGGAGGCTGCTTCTGCTGATGGCTCCTCACTGTCCCTGGGGCTGACTCAGCTCTGCCCTGCTGCCTTTGAGACCAGCGTCCGGCCCACGGGCAGGCCGCTGTGCTGCTCCTGTCCCAGGCCCTCACTCCCTGCCAGTCCCCAGCTGCGCGTAAACCCAGGTCTGAGAGGCCTGAGCTGATGGCTGGGCCAGGTGTTTCCCCTCTTGGACCTCACTTTCTCCAGTTATATGTCCATTTACCCTTTCACACATTTAACCATATTTACCAAGCACCTACTGTGTGCCTGTGCCAGGAACTGACAACACAGCACTGGACAAAAGCAGATAAAACCCTGCCCTCTGGGGGCCCCCATCCGATGTGTGAGCCCCTAAATAAGGTGGCTAGACAGGAGGCCCCCTTACAGGGTACAGCAGAAAAAGCACGGTCCTATTCAGACACCAGGGTTTCAGCCTCTGCTGTTTCTCTGATAGTCTGCGTGTCCTTGAGCGTGTTACTCAGGCTCTCTGAGCGATGTCTGGTTCCTCATCTGGCAGCAGGGGGTGGCAGACCCCTCCCCTGGGACTGCTGTTGTGCTCAGACGGGAGGGCAGGTGGGGAGGTGCGTGCACTGCGAAGTCTGAGCACCGCGCTCCACAGTCTCCCTGTGTCGTTACGCCCACTGATTGGTTTGAGCCTCACTGCGCATGAGTGGGGCAGGTTGCGAGGTAGGTGTAAGGCGCAGGCCCACTTTCACAGGTGAGAACACTGCGGTGTGGAGAGATCAGGGGCAGGGGGGACAGGTATGTGAGGTGGGGTGTAGTCGGATAGAGCTGGGGCTTTGCTGCTCGGTTGAGGGGTGCCTTTCACTCACCTGTATGTACAGTGGCTGAGAGAGGCTACCCAGCATTGTCCTGACTGTGAACTAGATTAGGGGGCTTGTCTAAACTGTTGGGCAAGTAGCATTTCATGCCCAACCCTTCCCTTCTTCCCACCATGCTTGTCTGCCTCAGCTGAGGCCGGAGGAGTCGGTGCCAGGTCAGGTCTTCTGCCCCAACCAGGCCCCAGAGAGTGAGTCCAGCCTCGGTGGAGCTTCCTGTGCAAGGGGACCATAGTGACAGCCCTCCCCACATGAGTGCAGGGTGCCACACCCAGAACACACCATGAACAGAGCTTCCTCCCAATGGTCCCCAAGTCCCGACATTCTGGACCACGACAGTGGAGACTTGGGCCAGTCCAGAGGGTGGCACTCGGGCCACTCACATCTGCCCTTTGAGCAAATGTCCTGCTGCGGGCTCAGCCCACCTCCGCCCTGCCCTGCCAGGGGACCTCATCCTTCTTCGCACTCCAGCATCCTCTGCAGCCTCTGTCTGAGGCTGGCATGGCCCCTAGCGTGCCCGATGCCCGTGTCCTGTGTCCAGGGCTTGGAGAAGCGGGAGCGGCAGAGGTGTGGCTGAGGAGTGAGTGGGGCAGATTGGGGCTCCAGAAGCCTTATTACCTACATTTTCCTGAGTGTTATCAAAGCTTTTTCCATTTTCCCTGCCCTGAATCTATACAGTAAAAATCATCACCCCCATTTTACAGATAGGGAGGAAGAGGCTCAGAGAGTGCTGTGAGTACAGTCTAGGTCACACAGCAATAGAGCCAGGCTTGCCTGCTCTCACCTGCAGAGGATGCTGGAGTGCAAAAAAGGATGAGGTCCCCTGGCAGCATCCTCAGCTGAGGGCTGCTGGGCTCGCTTCCGGAGGAGGTGGAGGGTCTCTGAGAGATGTCAGCAAGAGCACTGAGTGGGGTGTACCAGATTTGGCTCCTGGCTGGTGGTCTCTATCAGACTAGCACATGGGCTGGGGGTCAGTCCCAGACTCCCCCATACCTGCTTCATGACTCTGTGGTTGGAGCAGCAAGCCCACCTCCCGGTGGGCTACTCTGAGGGCTTCGGTGGGCTTGGGCTGAGAAGACACTTTGCCTAGAAATAGGCCATGTCCCCAGCGGGTGATGTGTCACCTGAGGGGCATCAGCAGGCTCTCAGCATGACGCCCCCACTAGGCCCTGGAGCAAAGTCCCCTCCACTTCTTCTGTCCCCTGGGCCAGCTTCTGCCATCAGCTGCTCCCAGTCTGCACAGGCAGGCCCACTGGTGTGGACTGAACTGCTTCTCCACCAGCTCCATACTGATGACCGTGGGTTGGTGACAGCCTCCCAGGGCCCCTGTAGGGCTTGCCATTTGGGAGCTGTGTGCTGAGTTTTGCTCCTCACACCCTTTCCTCCAGGAGACCTTTGAGACTTCGTGACTGGCTGCCATTCACAGAGCACGGGTTAAGCACACCCCTCCATGATCTCACTTAATCTGCACACAGCTCTGTGGGGTAGGGGCCATCGTTGTCCCCATCCAAAGTCGGGGAAGCTGAGGCCCAGATTAATGGAGTTACTGACCTTGATCTCCCACTAGGAATGTGTGGAGCAGGGAGTTGAACCAGCCAGTGAGTACCCAGACTCATAACCATAACCAGCCCTCGAGCGACTTGGGTGGGAGGGGACCTTCAAGATCACCTAGTCACCCCTCTGCCCCCCACTTCCTGACAATGTCATCCCCAAAGCAGAAGCACCCAACGCCTAGGATCACTGACACTCCCACCCCACAGGGTCCTAAGAGGAGAAGGGTAAAGGACTCCCCAGAGATCACCCGCTGGGGGGTCCCTGAGAGGACGGAGGACCAGTATCATTCCCATCAGCCCTGGTGCGAACAGGGTGCGGGGGGACCTGTCCTTGGAATCTAGCTGCAGAGCGTGGTCAGAGGAGCCTCAGGAGCCTGGTCTCTGCCTCAAATCCCTGCAGGCTGGTTCATTTAAGGCAATTCAGGGCCAACCTCAGGAAGCCAAGCCATTCAGAGGTAGGCGTGGTTGACTTTTATGTCCAGAGGCATACAAGCAGAGGTGCTCACCTGGCTGACTTACCCCATCAGGGCCTCAGGCACCCAGATGGGCAGTAGAAATGAGACCTTCCATCCTGCTCTGAGCATCCACAACTGTGGCTCTTGCAGGAGATATTCCAGCAAGCTGGGAGCCTTTCTGCCCAGGGACCATCACTTTGTCTCTCAACGACACCCCCAAGCGTCTGCCCACAGCCCTGGGCACTCAAAGTCAGTCCCTGCCCTAGAGGACAACCAGGAAGGGTCAGTGGGGTGGCAGCACCAGAGCAGGGAGCAGGAGATTTGCTGGGGGAGGGCCAGTCAGGACAACTTCTCCGAGGAGTCTCAAGGAACAAGTTTGGACTGACCAGCAGGGAAGAGGGAGGGAGCGAGAAGGACTTTCCCTGCAGAAAGAATAAGGAGGCATGGGGAATTCATGTGGGCAGGGGCAGGGTGGCCAGGATGGGAGAGCTGAGGTTGGCAGGTGCAGCTCATGCCAAGCTGCCAGTGTGTATCTGGGACCCTGGGGGCCTGCAAAGAATGTGGGCCAGGGCATGCAGCTTTCCCTGCCCCCAGCCCTTACTACTCTCTCCCTGGCGTACAGTCGGTTTTGCCTTTGCCCCTGCTAACAGCCTCTCTTCCCTGTCCCTGTAGGACCCCAAAACTGGTTGCCATCCCCACTTACGAGGAGGCTGTGCACTGCCCACTGGTTGAGGGGCCCCAGGCACCTCCTGCATACCCTGAGGAGGAAGACCTGCTGCTCAGTGCCTCCTGGGCCGCCCTGCTTGGGACACAGCCCGCCCCACCTCCACCCAGCTATGAGTGCGTCATCCGTGCTGCCGAAGCCATCCCTGGAGAGACAGTATCTGGCGCTGCCCGGCCGGTTCAGGCCACAGCAGGAGGAAGTTAAAGGTTCCCACCAGGCTTTGAATCCAGAGACAAATCCTGAGCTTCTTCTAGGGACCAATACAGTGCCTGGTTCACAGTATGCACTCAGCGGATGTTTGTCTCTCAGTGCAGTTTTACTTATCCATTGCTGTGTAACAAATGGCTTAAAATAAATCCATTTTGTTATCTCTCCTGACTCTCTGGGTTGCCCAGGTCCAGCTGGGTGGTTCTTCTTTTTAAAAAAGATTTATTTATTTTTATAGAGGAGGAAGGGAAGGAGAAAGAGAGGGGGAGAAACCTGAATGTGTGGTCGCTTCTTGTGCACGCCTCACTGGGGAACCTGGCTTGCAACCCAGGCATGTGCCCTGACTGGGAATCAAACCAGCAACCCTTCGGTTCACAGGCCGGTGCTCAATCCACTGAGCCACACCAGCCAGGGCCAAAGTGTGAATTTTAAAGCCAGGATTTCTGTCTTTTTTTAACCATTTCAGTTTTCAGTTTCCAAATGTAAAAATGAAATGAAGGCAGCTGTGGGCCAGAATTAACGACCTCAGTGCAGGTTACACACCTGCCTCCAACTTGCTGCACAAATATCGGCAGATCCCGTGTCTTCTCGGACTTTCACAGCCAAATTGAGTTGAATGCAATCCTATTCTCCCTACTTCTCAGGCATTCCAGGATAAGCAAATGGAAGTAAAACCAAACCAGACTACATAAGGATGGGGTTCTAAAAGCTGGCACTTCCAAAACCTCTCTGGCCCGTCTTCCAGTTCATACTGTAAAGTATTCAGGAGCCCGAAATGAGAGGGTAAGACTGATGCTGTTTCACTGTCTGCTCCGGCCACTGAATGCCACCCTGTCTCTGAGAGCCAGGAACTGTGTAAGACTGGTATGTGAATTAACTCTCCAAACCCCCTAGCTGCCCAGTGGGATTCCCTCGTTTCTCACACAAGAGTGAGACACAGAGATTAAGCAGCTTTCAGAGGGTCATCCTGCCAAGCGGCCGTGGCAGAATCGGGGCTGACTTGAACCAAGCTGTGTGATGCAGGCCCCACGCTCTTAACGGCTCTGTGGCTGCTTGAACGCTGTTGACCTGAACCAGCTGCTGCTGATGGAGAATCGTCTTTAACTGTTGATCATCCTTGGAATCCCTTCCACAAACCCTGCTTGTTTAGTGGGCCCAACTTCCACGGGGAGCAGGAAGCTTAGGTTAGAGTTGGCATGTGTGATTCCTGAGAAAACAAACCACCAGGCTGGCAGGAAGTGGAAGATGTGGTACAGCAAGAACTACCTAGGAAACAGAATCTGAGCACAGCCCCAACGGTCCAGCGGGCAGTCACCGGGGTTTATTGAACTCCCATCTGGCAGCTGTTTCGATATTAATAGGTTCTATTATTTCTTTTCTACCCATTTTTAGACACATTTAATCAAGGCAAGCACCAAAATGCTAACACTTTTTCCTGAAGAGGGAAAGGCTAAGATCTCCTTTACTCAAAGACGAGCTCTACCCACAGGTGTTCGGCAGCTCAGTGTTGCTTCCTTCCTCACCTTGCAGCCAGGTTCGGAGGTCTGTCTGGGAGCAGCCAGGGAACAAACGGTGCGCGTGCATTCTTTCACGTGGGGACATTTGTAAGTGGCAACAGCAGGGCATTGTGTTGAAAGAGCTCACCTATTAGAAGTTGTGAACACAAGAAAGCATTGCTTTTTGAAAAGCAATATACACATGCTTTTACAAACATACTTTTCTGGTTCTGCTTCGCTCAGTCTGATATTAAATATTTGTATTCGGTCAGAGCAGTGGCAGAGGTCTAGCTGGGGGCTGGGGGTCTGCGGGGAGCTGACCTTTGGCATGTCTTGGACTGCTCACAGCGAGGAGTCCGTATAAGAGTAGTTGATAGCTGGTGTTTTTGTGTGAACCTTCTCAAGTAGTCAGGGTTCACTGTGGCTCTTCTTCTGAGGAAGGTTGGCATCAAGCCAGCTTGTGTCTCATCATCCTTTGACAGTTCTTTGCTTTCACATCCCCCTGCAGGAGACCACCCGACTGCGAGCAGGCGGGAGCTTGAGGAGCAAGGGTCCTGCTAGCTGGGGGGGTGCCCCAGGAGAGCTCTGACTCGGGGGTGCGACTCCCAGGTCGCCGGGCACAAACCTCCAGCACACACTCTCCCCACCCCCGCAAATACTCACGCTGCCCCCCTCTGCTCCTGCAGCAGCAGGCTTTTTTTTTTCCTAAAAACACTTTTCATCTCAAAATTTCATTTCAAATTTCAAAATTCTGGTATATTCTACAGTTTACACAGGATTCTTAGGCTGCATTGAGAACTCTTTCACAAAACGTAGTTTCTGCAATATAGTTCTTACAGAAGGAAAGAGGAAATCAGTAATTCAGCTTTGTAATTAGACCTTGGTGTAAATTAGGGGGTGGAATTCTATGGTATTAGTCCGTTCTGTACCTGATAACATTGGCGGACTGGACACTAATAGTTGTTTTTTACTGTTGTCCTTCTTGCTGGTTGACTTTGCATCTAATTGTCTTTACTCTGTAACCATGAAATGTTTGGGGAGTGGGGAACCCACACGCTTCACACTGTCCCCAGAAGGTTCCTTGGAGCTGGACAGTTAATGTGGCTTTCGAGGCTGTGCAAAATGGTGCACTGAGCCCGCTTCCCAAAGGATAATACCCAGGAGTAATATTTGGCAAGGTTCACGAGCACAAAGCACATTGAATACAAGAGAAAAGCACAACTGATGTGCCCTCTGTCACACAAACCCTGCCTGGGGACACTCAGCTGGGGAACTTAGGCTGGGGTCTGACTGCGTGCCATGCTCCACTTTACTAGTAGGTGATGGGAAGCAACCATATGGTTGAGTAGGGGAATATATAATAAACTCTGTGCTTTGGAAAGATCATTTGGGACAGGATAGAGAAGCTGAAAGCTAGAAGCTCAGCTACAAAGGTATGTAAAGAGTCCAAGACCCCTGCACTAGGTAATCATAGAGGCTCAAAGGGATTTCAGAAAGAGCCAGTTCAGTCCTGCCCAGGGCAGAGTTTTCCTGCAGCGTGATATTTGTTCACATCTGTTTTACTAGGAAAGACAATGATATTGATCAGGGGAATGTTTCGTCTCCTGTAGAAGTCAGACCAACAGAGAGGGTAAGAAAGATGCCGCCCAGCTGGGCCATCTGGTCCAGGGCTAGGGGATGATGCATGGCACTGTGCTCTTTAGCCCCTTCCACCCCTGCAGACACCCAGAAAGCGGGACTTTCTCCTCAGACCCTACAGGCTTCTGGCCACCACCGACGGGAACCCCAGTCTTGGCCGTGTTGCCTTTGTCCCAGCCTGGTACCTCAGTCTGTGCTGGAGAGAGCCAGGGTGCACTGGCTTGTTCCTTCACCAGGACTCGGAAAGTCCTTGCTCGCTGGACCTGAAGGAGGGAGAGCAGGATTCTTCTTGGAAAAGGGAATGGCTTTGTGGGTCTAAGAAAAAGAACCATTAAGGTACAAGAGACACAGTAAACCCCGCAGGGGCCAGGGCCATCAGCCCTGGGACAAGCCTAAGTTGGAAAAGGTTTCTGCCGGAGAAAATAGGGGCAGGCTCCTGTCTTCTTCCAAACACACAGGGATTCCAGGAGGCGAGAAAGTGCAGAAGTGGTGAAACAGAGTTTGAGCCCTGTTCCTGCATTTTCCTGGGACAGCGAAAAGAGTGATAGGGACTCCTGGAGTCAGCTCCTCACTGAGGATGCTCAGGGCCAGCGGGTCACTGCCCACAGCTCTAGCACCCCTTTCAGAGAGGTAAATGACAGCTGCAGTTGGGGCTCCGGCCAGTTTCCTCACAGCCCTGGGGCTCAGTGCCAGGACAGGCCGACCCAGTTAACCCCGCAGCCCATTTGCTCTCTATCTGAAACGTCATAAAAGTGTCCTAGATATCTGGCAAGTAGTTGCTTAAAGTCCTAGTGGATTTCCACACACACACACATGTCCTCATAAAGGTGTTTTACTAGTTCTTAGGCTAGATGTAAGGGTCGAGATCAATTAGTAAACTTTGAAAGCAAAAACAAGAGTAGTTGCCTTCAGTCTGTCACATTTCTACCCCTTCGTTCCCACCCTTAGTCACTAACCCACCTCCTCTTACCAACAAAGGACAGAATATCTGAGGACACCAGTGGGAGGAAGGGCTTGGATCTAATATGGGGCAAGAGAAAAGCAAAAGAAAGTTTGAGAGAATCCATGAAACACTGACCAGAAGAGAAAGACTCAGCGCAGCCCCAAGGTGGCAGCTGAATTTGGGAATGCAGGAGACCAAAGAACTGGGGGTGTGGCCAAGACCAACCTGGCTGGGGCCAGAGAAGGAAGGCGGAAGTGACTTCTGTGAAGGATTGCCTACCAGGAAGCAACAAGGACTGGCCTTGGCCTTGTCTGGTTTTCAGAGGGAAATGGGGTCTAGTGCAAGGTGAGCAACCTTCCCTTCTACAGGGATTTCATCAACCCAGGAGACAGCCCTCACCGCCCACAAAAGCTTCTAATCTCCATTAACAGACACAGCTACACATCCTAACCTTTGGCCTTCAGTGTCTGGATGGCAAACTTAAATGTTTCAATGTCCGGGAACCTGCCAACAAGCTCCTCTCGTGAGTCCCACACGGGTGCGCAGACCACACATGGAAATACTGCACTGTGGTCCCCCCCTCCAGCCAGAGCACAGGGCTTCTCCGCTAGGGGTGTTTCCCAGGGTAAGTATTTGCCCAGTTTCCTCACACAGCCATTGAACACCTAGGACTCCACTCCTTGGGGGTTCGGCTTTTTAGCAAATGTAAGGTGTTTTTTAAACAAATATGAGCAATCCTGATGGGTAGCCGTGTTTAGGAACTTCCTCTGAGCCTCCAAAAAGCTTTCCTTGTCCTAAATCTCTGAAATGGCAGAGTTAGTTTGCATAATGGGTCACTGTATTTGAAAGTAGAAATTCCCACCTTTATGCAATTCTCCTTCCACCAAAAAAAGTCTACCAATTTGAGATACTAATTATGCAACACCACTTTGAAGGGAAGGGCGAGGGGGCACTTACCAGCAGTGCCAGAGCCAAAGTCAGAAAGGGCCTGGGGGGCAGAGTTAGGATTAGATGCACCTTGTAAAGTTCCTCCTCCTCTAACATTTGGTTGGGTGAGATCACCCCAAGCGAATGCAAAGTGTTAC